ATGTTCTTAAAGCTCTCCTTTAAGAGCATAGGAGCAACTAAGGCAACACTCTTTTAAAGGAGAAGAACATCTTATAACAGCAACACCGGCACCCTGTCTCCCTGTTACCTCCACTTAGTGGCCACATCTGTCCCTTGGGGAGAATCTGCTGGGAACCTTTGGGTCATTCCAGTATTGACCACTAAGGAAGATAACCCTAACCCTAACTCCCTTCCCTTTCCTTATTCAACAGTGGGGCAGAAATATAGGACCCAGCCAAGCTGCCCGGGGGGAAAATGTTTGAAATCCGGGTAGAGTGGAGGAGGAAATTGCTGTGATAAGCCCATATCAATCCAAGATAACCTACAGCAGAAGCAGGCAAAGCAGGTGGTGGCTTCCAGAGAAAGGTGGTCCATTGGCAAGACTTGGGATGGTCTTACCTTCAGCCTGAATGCTTTGAAGAGAAAAACTGCTGTGGTCCCAGGGCAGATGTTCCAGGAACCCATCTTCCCTCCCTCCCGTTCCTTCCTCAGCTGCCACCAGCCACGTCTTTGGCTTTTTCCCCTTCTTACCCCCACCCCCACCATAATGCACACCCTTCTTTTCAGAACAACTGTGTTTTGGTGTGTATCAAGAACAAAACAGCCCCTTTTTATTCCATGCATAACCCAAAACTTCTAAAACATGTTTCTTTCCATTTTTGTCCACCAAAAGCCACTGAATACTTTGGGCAGCACCTACGGCCACCTAAAGAAGTATTCAATACAGCTGACATAGAGTGTTGCTGTCAAAGTGCTTTTCCTTCCACAGCTAAATTATGAAATATAATTCCTATTCTGCATGAATTAAGACAAACCAAACAGATTGTCTTGAGTTCAAAAATATAATTCCAATTCAGGCATATTGCTCACAGTGCCTGTAATGACCCAGGCCTGTGAATAATGTTTATATCATCATAGCCACTCTTCGAAAGGGGCAGTGAATGCTCAGTTCTACAGATACTGTTAGACTGCAACTGTCATTGTTGGCTACTGATTATGTTCACTAGGGTTAATGGAAGTTGGAATTTCACAATCAGGAGAGTTGGCTGGCCAAGGTGAAGAGAACAGAGCTACCCTATTCTGTTCCACCTAGAAAAGGTGACAGGGCTAGGTTAATCTACACCAGTGTTTCTCAACCTTGGCAGCTTGAAGATGTGTGGACCTCAACTCCCAGAATTCTCCCAGGCTGGGGAATTCTGGGAGTTGAAGTCCACACATCTTCAAGCTGCCAAGGTTGAGAAACATAGATCTACACTGTCACCTGGGGACAACAGTTGTTTTAGGAGTGCAGAGCAGGTCATGTGGAACCCAAGCCTGTCCTCTAACACCTTACCCCTCCCAAAACCTGAAACTCTTTTTAATGGTTAGATGACCTCCACCCCCAACTTCTAGACAGCCAGAAGATAAAACCTCATAATCAGGCTTTATCTTTAATTTATTAAGGAGGAATGCTCACTCATTTAACACTTTTATTTGGAAAGTGGCTCTGTGATCTTCTTGACTGAGTCTCCTACTCCAAGTAAACCATTACCATTGTATCACATGTCCCTGAGAATATGTTCAAAAACAATACAATATTTTAATTCAGAGGTTTATAGAATATAACTGCCTGAAAGAATGACAATGACTACGCTGATTGTAACAATTCTGTTTTTTAATTGTAAGTTGCATGGAATTTTACTGAAGATCAGATGTGATAAGCACATACACACACACACACACACACACACACACACACACATTTATGAATTAAACAAAAACCCTTATGCTATTTTTAGGCTGCTCATTATTTTCAAATTTGAATGGATAACAGTATAGAAATAATTATTTCAATTCCTGCTTGTGTATGTGAGACAAGGTGAAAAGCAAATTAAATAGCACTTCACTCATTCTTGCTCTTAATAGATGCAATCAATTCTATTCTATTTATAGGCTGTTTTTTAAAAGCACCCTCCAAAGCAACTTTAAAATTAAGGGATCATATCTATCTATCTAACTAACTAACTAACTATTCTTTAACCAATGAGGACAAAAGCAAAGTATCTGTTGGTTTCTAACATATACCGTATAAGCACCAACATTTCAGTTCTCCTTCTTTTCTCCTACAAAGTAGTTTAATCAGAAAAATGCCATGATTACTCAGTGCCCCCACTGTTCCTGGAGGGATGCATGCCATTAAGAAAGCAACTGTCCTTTTCATCAGTGTACATTATTCAGCATTCATGAACTGCAAGCTTCGTCTCCCTTTGCATCTTACTCACTCCACCGCCTTGCTTTTCTCGGATCCTTATGTTCTTGAGTCTTGCCTGCCCAGATTAACGCTAGGGTCTACTTGCAATCTACCTCCCCTCCCCTGGTTCTTCAACTGATATATTTCCCTGAGATTTGACAAAGGCATTTCACATGAAACCCTCAGAGTCCCTGAAGGACTTTACTTTACTCTTCTGGGTCACAACTGCCATATTTCAAAGTAATCATTTCCACTTCTGTTATTGTTCTGTTGAGACACAGATTTATGTTTCCAGCTCAGCAGCCACTTGGAAAATGATTCCCACTAATTGTGTGCCTTAGGTGCTTCTGGCTCCCTTCTTCCTCATCTGCAGACCATCTGGCCTGGTGAGCTGGTGAGGCTCAGTAACACATAAATGCTGCAGAAATTCCCAGGCAAAGCCTTTGGTGCTGCACACAGCCTTGAACAAGTACATGTGCACTCATATAGAAGCATTCCTAGGTTTGGAGCATTGCTTCCTACCTGGTGCACCTTTAAAATGCACTTAGCTAAGGAGATGCTTCTGCCCTTGAAGAGCATTTCATAGCCACATCTAGTCCAGAATGCAGTAACTCAGGTAGCCCACACAATACCTTAATTCTCAAAGATGCCCTTTTGGCCAGTCAGCTTCTGAGTACCATTCAAGGTGCTGGTTGTCACCCTTAGAGACCTTTATGTTTTGTGGCCTGGATATCTGTATGACTGCCCTCTGCCTGTGGCATCTACCCACCCAGTTAGATGTAGGGTGGACTTGCTACATCTGTATATATATCAGTTGAAGAACCAGGGGAGGGGAGGTAGATTGCAAGTAGACCCTAGCGTTAATGCTTGCTAAGCATTCCCTCAATGAGAGACTGTCATCTTCAGGGTCCACATAAGCACATCTTTTCAGTCACTGCCCCCTCCTCTGGAATAGTAGCCCCCAGATGTGTGATAGGTCCCTTTCCAGCTTTTAGAAAGTTAGTAAAAAATGGGTTATTCCCTCAAGCCAGGGAGGTTGGCTTGTTATAATTGTCTCACAGTCATGAGACTGGGTCTTGGTATTATGGTTAATGTTTCATACGTGACCACTGGTTCCAGCAAAATGTCTTCTAGTTGCTGTTTTTTTAACTGATTGCATGTATGATTTTAATCCCAACTATGTATTGGAAAGCTAGTGGCTGCTCAGAATCAACAATAGCAGCCTCTAAGCCCCATAAGTAGGTAAGTAAATACAGATATTTGAAGAAGTTGTCTCCCCCACTACTTATAAGGTTCCCAGGTGTGGAGGGAATAGGGAATGGCCTTGAAGGATAGGAGAAAGAGCTGTTACCAAGGCAATGGTCAGATAAGTGGGGCTTAAGCCTGGGCCAAGAAAATAACTTGAGGAAACATCTCAGACAAGCCCCTCCCCAGCTCACATGAAGATAAAGTATGTTTTCTTAATACGTTTGTATTATAATCCCTCCATAATGCATGACATTTTCATGTTTTCTGCAGCAGCCTATAAAACCCACCAGAAACTGACTACCAGTAAAAACAGTATCATCAGATAAAGACCACATCCATGTGTTTATATTTTAGAATAGCATAATTTAGACCACTTTGACTTATACTCTACTTTACTGTATATTAGGTTTACATAGTTTTAATGTTAATATTATGATTTTTACATAAAGATTTTAGTTATATGGGGATTTCATATTGTGCTAGGAATTCTGATTTTTAATTATCTTTCCATAGCTTTCATATATTAACATATTTACCTCACAATTTTATATTGCATTATATTATAATAATTATATTATTATATTATATATTCTTAATATTAACATTAATCATAATCTTTATATATAGATTTTAGTGATACAGTGATTTTATAGCTTTGTGTTATTAATTCTGTTATTGTTCCATAGCTTAAGGACTGGTTCCTTTCATGTTGAAATGGTCCTAAACTATTGTAGTTCTGATGTTATTTTATATTGTTCAGGGGCAAAATAAACGTTTGATTTCATTGCAACTTCTCCTTTTCAGGCTGCCCTTGCAGGAGGTACCACGATGATAATGGATTTTGCAATCCCTCAGAAAGGCTGTTCCCTCATTGAAGCCTATGAGCAATGGAGAAGCTGGGCAGATCCTAAAGTCTGCTGTGATTATGCACTACATGTGGGAGTCACATGGTGGAGTGAGCAGGTATGGTAGGCAGAACATCAGTAGTACATGCATTCCTTTAAGGCAGTCCAGCATGCAGCATGGACTGTATCAGTGGCTCAGAAACAAAAGGCTTTCCATTTTCCGGGGCAAAAGTATCAAGAACCAATAGAGGCGAATATGTGTAGCTCAGGGTTGAACTGTGGAGTCCTTGGGGTTCTCTG